TTACAGTGTCCATACTACCCAAAGCAATCTATAGATTTAATGCAATCTCTATCAAAATACCAACAGCACTTTTCACAGAACTTGAACAAACAATCCTAAAATTGGTATGGAACCACAAAAAACCACAAAGAGCCAAGCAATCTTGAAACAGAAAAACAAACCTGGAGATATGACAATCCCAAATTTCAAGATATACTACAAAGCTGTAGTAATCAAAACAGTGTGGTACTGGCACAAAAATAGATCAACAGAATGGAATAGAAATAAACTCAGAAATAAAACCATGGGAATATGGTCAATTAATCTTTGACAAAGAAAGCAAAAATATACAATGAGAAAAAGACAGTCTCTTCAACAAATGATGTTGGGAAAACAACAGCTATATGCAAAAGAATGAAAGTGAACCACTTTCTTACACTATACACAAAAGTAAACTCAAAATGGATTAAGGACCTAAATGTAAGACCTGAAACCATAAAATTTCCAGAAGAGAGCACAGGCAGTAATTTCTCTGACATTGGCTATAGAAACATTTTTCTAAACAGGTCTCCTGAGGCAAGAGAAACAAAAGCAAAAATAAACTGTTGGGACTGCATCAAAATAAAAAAGCTTCTGCACAGCAAAGGAAACAATTAACAAAACTAGGCAACCTAGTGAATGGAAGAAAATATTTGCAAATGACATGTCTAATAAAGGGTTAATAGCCAAAATATGTAAGGAACTTCTAAAACTCAATGCCCGCTAAAACAAACAACAATAACAAACCCTCATTATCCAAAAAACAATCCAGTTAAAAATGAGCAGGGGCACTTGGGTGGCTCAGTCAGTTAAGTATCAGACTTCAGCTCAGGTCACGATCTCACGGTTTGTGGGCTCGAGCCCCGCGTTGGGCTCTGTGCTGACAACTCAGAGCCTGGAGCCTGCTTCAGATTCTGTGTCTCACTCTCTGACCCTGCCCCACTCGCATTCTGTCTCTGTCTCTCTCGATTTAAAAAATTAAAAAAAAAAAAAAAAAAAACATTAAAAAATGGGCAAGAGACATGAACAGTTATTTCTCTAAAAAAGACATACAGATGGCCAACAGACACGTGAACAGTTGCTCATTGTCACTCATCATTAGGGAATACAAATCAAAACAATAATGAGATATCACCTCACACCTGTCAGAAGAGCTAATAGCAAAAACACAAGAAACAACAGGTGGTAGTGAGGCTGTGAAGACAAAGGAACCCTCTAGCACTGTTTGTGATAATGCAAACTGGTGCTGCCACTCTAGAAGACAATATGGACTTTCCTCAAAAAGTTAAAAATAGAACTATGCCATGATCCAGCAATCACACTGCTGGGTATTTCCCCGAAGAATATAAAAACACTAATTCAAAGGGATACATGCACCTCTATGTTTACAGCAGCATTATTTACAACAGCCAAGATATGGAAGCAGCTCAAGTATCAACTGATGAGTGGATAAAGAAGAGGTGGTATGTATACAATGGAACACATTCAACCATACAAGAGAATGAAATCTTGCCATTTGCAATGACATGGGTGGAGTACAATGCTAAGCAAAATACGGCAACAGAGAAAGACAAATACCATATGATCAACCAGAGAAAGACAAATACCATATGATTTCACACATATGTGGAATTTAAGAAACAAACGAAGCAGAGAGAGAAAGAGAGAGAGAGATGAAAGATGAGAGCAAGAAAGAGATAGAGAAACCAAGCAACAGACTCTTAACCAGAGAAAACAAACTGATGGTTACTAGAAGAGGGGATGAAGTAATGGGGATTAAGAAGTAAGAAGTGTCCTTGTCGTGATGAGCACCAAATGATTAAAATAAAAACTTTAAAAAATTTCAATTCAAAAATAGGAAAAATTCAATCATACTGTTTTGGAATGAATACACAGGTAGCAAAACTTAACACAAAAACAACGATATGATTATCATAAACCTGAAGGGTCTTCCAGTGAGAAGGAAAGGATTATAATCCAGAAGGGTATGCAATAGTTTCTGGGGTGCTAGTAATGTTCTATTTCTTGCATATTATACTTCACATTAAAAAAACAAAAACAAAACAAAACAAAAAAACAAGATGGTAAGGATAAACATCACTCCAGGGGTGCTTGGGTGGCTATGCTGGTTAAACTTACAACTCTTGATTTTGGCTCAGGTCATGATCTCAGTTTCATGAGTTCAAGCCCTGTGTGGAGCTCTGTGCTGACAGTGAAGAGCCTGCTTGAGATTCCCCCCGTCTCTGCCCACTCGTATTCTCTCTCAAAATAAATAAGTGAGAAAAACACCATTATGTTGACTGGTTCACAATAATAAGCCTTAAAGGGAGGTTCAGGCTGCCAGGAAATCATGCTATATCACCCTGGTCCATCTGCCCACTTACTCTCCTGGAATATTTCATATCTTTCTGCTCTAAACCTCTGACATCTCCTCTCCCATTGTCATCTATAGTTGACGATTGTGTTTCCTGCTTCACTGAAAATGAGAGTAAAAAAAACTTCTACAGACTTACCATCATAAACACCCACGTCCCAGGATTTTGCACCCACATATTTCTACCTTCCCTTAGCTCAACTCTCCATGTTACTATGTGAGGCCAGTCCACCTGTTTGTGCACCCACAGCCCTTCCTCCTCACCTTCTCAGAGACATTACAGCAATTCTCCCATGTCACCTGTATCATCGATTTCCTTCAGCAAACATGTTGTTACTTCTCAACCCAGCTTCTCTATCAGCTATTACCCTATTTCGTTGTTTCTGTTTGTAGTTAAATTGCTTGAAAACGTTTGTAGTTACTGCCTCTGATCCTTTTCCTTCCATTCTTTCTTAAACCCATCACAGTCGGGTTTTGGCCTGTCAAAACTGCTCACCAAGACAATAACTTCTAATGGTCAACTTTTGGCTCTCATCTTACTTATCTATCAGGAGCATTTGACACAGGTTATTACTCCTTGCTCTTTTTTTACATCTCTTCAGTTTCCAGTAAATCCCTCTCTTCTGATTTTCCCCTGACATAACTGGTCACTCGTGCTCCATCTCCACTGCCAGTTCCTCTTCTTTCTTACTTAGAGTTGGAATGCTGCCCTATGTCTTTGGTATTCTCCTGTCCACCTATACTTATTCTCTTGATGCTATCACCCAGACTCATGATTTAAATACACCTCTATACAGGGGCGCCTGGGTGGCTTAGTCGGTTAAGCGTCCGACTTTCGCTTAGGTCATGATCTCGCGGTTCATGAGTTCGGGCCCCGTGTCGGGCTCTGTGCTGACTGCCAGCTCGGAGCCTGGAGCCTATTTCAGAGTCTGTGTCTCCATCTCTCTCTGACCCTCCCCTGCCCATGCTCGCTCTCTCTCTCTCTCTTCTAGAAATAAAAAAAAAACAAAAAACAAAAAACATCTTTATACAATACTTCCAGGTCAGGTCCCTCTCTTAAACTCCAGACTCATTTATAACATCTACTAGACATCTAAAATTTCATATACCCAAAACGAATTTCCTCAATTTTCATTCAAAACCTGCTCCACCATCTATTAACCATTTCCTTATTTCTGTTTAAGGCAATGCCATTCTTCCTATCTGGAGTCATCCATGTTTTTTCTCCCCACATCTAGTCTGCTAATAAATCCAGTGTATTCCATCTTCCAAATATACCCAGAATTTAAGATTTCTTCACCTCTTCCACTGCTAAAACTTAGTCTAAACCACCGTCATATCTCACTTGGATTACTGCAATGGCCTTTTATCTGGTCTCTGCTTATACCCTTATCCCTCTACACCCTATTCTTAACATAGCAGCAGAAAGACCCTTTTAATAATTAATTGACATATTACCTTTCCTATGCTCAAAATCCTATAATGTCTACTCATCTTATTAAGATGAAAAACCAACTATGCATGCCCAGGACAATACCAACCTTTTAAACTATTTTTCTGGGCTTAGGAAACACAAAAATAAACACAAAATGGAGCTAAAAATAAAAAAGTCATCCCTAAAGTCAGTCCTCAAACCACTTTTAACCTATGAATAACTTCTACTTAATCTACACTGAATGATGACAGTGTAGTAGATTTTTATAGATGTCTCTACTTATTCCTCTTAACACATGGTACTTTTTTAAATTAAATTTTGTATTTTTCATAGAATAATGGTTATTATAAATGGAAGGTTTTTAAAATACTTTATTACTTGGAAAACAAAATTTTGGCAGAACTAAATTTTAATGCCTTCACCATTTCTCCTCTCTATGCATCTTCTCTGATAAATTAAAAAAAAAAACAGAATACTTTAACTGGTATATGAAACTGAAAAGTCTGGGGACTAATAGCTAAAAGGATTTAACAAGAATGCACCTGCACTAAAAGCTCACTAAAGCATAAGCAGTAGAAATTATACTGTCTAGATTATTAGACACACACCCCTTCCCAGCTCTCAGTGCTGGCTGTGTGGCATTAAAGTTTTTTGCCTCTCTGACCCTCTATTTCCTCATCCATAATGCCCATTAAAGTACCCAGTTCAGAGGAATATGAAAATTAAATGAAACAATATATTTAAAATATATTGACATATAATAGCTACATGTGTGTTTAGTTAATGCAACACTATTAATTATGTGTTTAGTTAATTCAGTGTTAATACAGTGGGTGGTGTATGGTGGGAGAGGGAGCGGAGCCAGTGTCAGGGGGAGTAGACCATCCTAATGCACAGAAGTATTTTATCCACTTAGGTACAGAATTGCTGGCACATGGTGACAATAAAAAGCATTCTGGTCAAGTTTCACTACTGTTTGTAAATTCTCCACAGTCCATTTACCCCCGTCTTGCCTTCACCAGAGTACACCACAGCAAAAGACCATCTCCCACATTAACAGAGTATTAGGCACACTGTATGGCAAAGACAGAGAAAGGAGTATTAAAGTAAGGTCACCATGTATTCTTAAATAAACTAATGGTGATTATTTAGAAAATAAAAATATCCACTTACCTTTCTTGAATTTATGCACAGGGAGTTTCTTAAGTTGATCTTTACGAAGTCTGTTTCTTCTAGCTCTGTGTCTATCCTGGACAAATTTTGTGATCTAAAAGAAAAAAAAAAAAAATCAGATATTAAACATGCAAATAGAAAATAGCCATTAAAATAATACATATATTTTAAGTTTCTGGATAGCTGCTGCAAATCAAATTCAGTTTACTTACACCCTAGTCATATTATTATTAATTGAAGCACTAATTACATAAGTGATTAGTTATCCCAAATATTACGCTTTGTATTTTATTCACTGACCCAAATTACCTTTACTTACTTTAACAGAAACATTATAAATAACATAGAACTGGTGTTTTTTTGCAAATATAAGTGGTAGACCATAGGTTACAAAGATTCCACTAGAGCAAGAAGGCAGAGTTGAAATTCCTGTAAATTACAAACTAATAACATTTTCAAACATTTATTAATCACTACGCTCTCAGCTGTAGCAGCAAACTGAATAGAAGTACTACATAACACCTATACTATGCATATTCAGAAATGCTGGATAAAATCTACAAAACATTTCAACTATAAATTACTATGCTTGCAAAAATGAAAAGTCCACAGGGGCAGAGCCAAATGTCAAAAGTAACAACCATAAAAAGAAAATTTTGACTCAGCGTTACTCATCATCAGGGAAATACAAATCAAAACTACACTGAGATACCACCTCACGCTGGTCAGAGTGGCTAAAATAAACAAATCAGGAGACTCTAGATGCTGGTGAGGATGTGGAAAAACAGGCACCCTCCCACACTGTTGGTGGGAAGGTAAACTGATGCAGCCCTTCTGGAAAACAGTGTGGAGGTTCCTCAAAAAATTAACAATAGAACTCCCCTAGGACCCAGCAATAGCACTGCTAGGAATACCCAAGGGATCCAGGAGTGCTGATGCATAGGGGCACAAGTACCCCAATGTTCATAGCAGCACTCTCAACAATAGCTAAAACATGGAAAGAGCCTAAGTGTCCATCAACAGACAAATGGATCAAGAAGATGTGGTTTATCTATACAATGGAATACTACATGGCAATGAAAAAAAATGAAATCTGGCCATGTGTAGCAACATGGATGGACCTTGAGGGTGTTATGCTGAGTGAGGTAAGTCAGGCAGAGAAGGACAGATACCTATGTTTGCATGTAATAGGTGGATTAGGAGGAACTTAATGGAGGACAATGCGGGAGGAGAAGGGGAAAAATAGTTGGGGAGAGAGAGGGAGGCAAACCATGAGAGACTCTTGAATGCTGAGAACAAAATAAGGGATGATGGAGGGGTGGGAGAGAGGGGAAAGGGGGTGATGGGCACGGAGGAGGGTACTTGTTGGGAATAGCACTGGGTGTTATATGGAAACCAACTTGACAATAAACTAAGAAAAAAAAAGAAAATTTTGACAAATTTGACTATATCAACGTGAAGGACTTCTGTCCTCCAAAGACCCTATTAAAAAATAAAAAAACAAGCCACAGACTAAGAGAAAATAGTTGTAAATTGCATATTTGATAAGGGATTTGTATGCAGAACTCAAACATAATAACAAAAAAACAAAAAACAGTCAACCCAATAGGAAAAAAATAGGCAAAATATTTTAACAAGCCTTCACCACAGCAGATATATGCATGGCAAATAAGCACCAGAAGACATACTCAATTCAACATAATTAGTCAATGAGAATATGACAATTCAAATCACAAATACCACTGTATAGAAGAGAATGACTAAAATTAAAAAGACTGACTATATCGAGTGTTGGCCAGGAGGTGGAGGAACTGGCACTGTGACACACAGCTGGTACAGACACTTTGGAATGCTGATGAATTCTTATAAATGTAAACACACAATTACCGTATGACTCAATCACCCGACTCCTACTTATAGGCATAAAAGCACATGTCTGTATAACAGCTTGTACACAAATGTCCATGTCAGCTTTATTTATAATATCCAAAACCCAGAAATAACCCAAATGCCTATCAAATGGGTAAATGGATTTAAAAAAAAAACTGTGATACATTCATATAATCAAACATAACTGGGTTAAAAAAAATGAATCAACATACACAATAAAATGTATAAACCTCAAAATAATTATTCTGAGAGAAAGAAGGCATACACAAAAGAGTACATAATGTATAATCCCATGTGTAGAAAGTTGAAGAAAATACAAACTAATCTGTAGTGACCAAAAGCAGATCTGCAGCTGTCTAGGGATGGAGGGTAGGAAGAGAATGAGGACCTGACGGGGTGGGAGGCAGGGATTATCAAGGTGCATGAGGAAGTTTGTTGAGTTGATTGATATTTCGGTACCTTGACTATGGTAGTGGTTTCACAAGTGTGTGTGTTTGTGTGTGTGTGTGTGTGTGCATGCACACGTGTGTGTGTCAAAATTTACCAAACTGGGGGAAAGCAAAAGGGCCTCCACATATTCTCAGGCTTTTCCTCTGGTGCCCTCCTGTTCCGACCCTCCCCATCACACACACAAGGAGTTTACACACACACACAACCATTTTGTCAACACGTAGAATATTTAGTGGAAAGAGGAACAAGACAGAGAAAATGTACAGATTACACCAGTCATAAATGACTACCTCAAGAAACAAGCCAAAGTACATATGGTGGAGAGTCCTAAATACCACTACGAGCAGGGAAATAAAATAACCAAAGTCTCAACAACAGAGACCAAGAGACACCATTCAAAGACCACGTCCTGAATGGACAGGCCCTGGACAGTCATGAGGCTTCTTTAATACAGCAGCACTCGCAGGTGCAGCGTGCATAACAAGCTTTTAAAACTAACAAGAGACAGAAAAATAGCCAAAATGATGAAACTGAAGAACTCCCCTCTAAGGAAATTCCAGGAAGAAATGAAGCTAAAGAACTGCTCAAAACAGATATAAGCAACATAACTGAACAAAAATATAGAACAATAGTTATAAAGTTAATCGCTGCACTTGAAAAAGGCATGGAAGACATCAAAGAAACTATTGCAACAAAGACTATGGAGCTTAAAAATAGCTGTGATAAATTTAAAAATGCTATAAATGAGATGAATAATAAAATGGAGGAGTCCAATGCACGGATTGAAGAGAGAGAGGAGAATAGATGAGTTAGCAGACACAATTATAGAAAAAGAGGGAGCCAAGAAAAAGAGAGATAAACTGATCCAGGAACACGAAAGGAGAGTTCGAGAGCTAAGTGATACAATCAAATGGAACAATATACATATCATAGGAATTCGGAAAGAGGAAGAAAGAGGGAAAGGCACTGAAGGAGTCCTTGAACAAATTATAGCAGAGAACTTCCCCAATGTGGGGTAGGAAGCAGACACTGAAATCCAAGAGGCACAGAGAACTCCCCTCAGATGTAACTTCAATCGATCTTCTGCATGATATATCATAGCAAAACTGGCAAAATATAAGGACAAAGAGAGAATTCTGAAAGTAGCTGGGGATAAAAGGGCCCTTAAAAAGGGAAACCTATCAGAGTGGTGACAGACCTATCTACTGAAACTTAGCAGGCCAGAATGGAATGGCAGGAAATCTTCAATGTGATGAACAGAAAAAATATGCAGCCAAGAATCCTCTATCCAGCAAGCCTGTCATTCAGAATAGAAGGAGAGATAAAAGTCTTCCCACATAAACAAAAATTGAAAGAATTCATCACCACTAAACCAGCCCTACAAGAAATCCTTAGGGGGATTCTATGAGGGAAATGTTGCAAGGAACACAAGGTACCAGAGACATCACCACAAGCACGAATCCTACAGAGAACACAATGACTCTAAACCGATAGTTTTAAATAATAACACTGAATGTAAATGGACTAAATGCTCCAATCAAAAGACACAGGGTAGTAGAATGGATACAAACCCAAAATCCATCTATTTGCTGTCTACAAGAAAACATTTTAGACCTGAGAACACCTTCAGAATGAAAGGAAGGGGATGGAGAAATATCTATCATGCTACAGGAAGTCAAAAGAAAGCTGGAGTAGCTATCATATCAGACAAGCTGGACTTTAAAGAAAGTAACAAGGGATGAGGAAGGGCACTATATAATAATTACAGGATCTATCCATCAGGAAGAGCTAACAATTATAAATGTCTATGCACTGAATATGGGAGCACCCGAATACATAAAAGAGTTAACCACAAACAGAAACAATTTTATGGACAAGAATGTGCTAACAGCAGGGGACTTTAATACTCCATTTACAGCAATGGATAGATCAACTAGACAGAAAATCACTAAAGAAACAATGGACTTGAATGGCACATTGGACCAGATCAATTTGAGAGATATATTTAGAACTCTACATCCTGAGGCCATGGAATTCATTCTCTTCTCAGTGTGCATGGCACATTCTCTAAGACATATCAGATACCGAGTCATAAAGCAGCGCTCGATAAATATAGAAGAACTGAGATCATACTATGTACACTTTCAGATCACAATGCTATGAAACTAGAAATCATTCACAGGAAGAAGTCTGGAAAACCTCCAAAAAATAGAGGTTAAAGAACACCCTACTAAAGAACAAATGGGCCAATCAGGCAATTAGAAAACAAATGAAAATGAAAATACAACAATTCAAACTCTATGGGAGGTGGCAAAGGCAGTCCTAAGAGGAAAGTACATTGCACTCCAGGCCTATTTCAAGAAATTAGAAAAAGTGCAAATACAAAATCTAACAGCGCACTAAAGCAACTAGAAGGAGAGAAACAAGCACTCCAAACCCAGTAGGAGAAGAGAAATAATAAAAATCAGGGCAGAAATAAACAATATAGAATCCAAAAAAACAGTTAACAGGTCAATGAAACCAAGAGTCAGTTTTTTGAAAAACTAAATAAAATTGACAGACCTCTAGCCAGGTTTTTCAAAAAGAAAAGAGAGAGCACTCAAATAGAGAAAATCAAGAATGAAAATGGACTTATTACAACCAACCAATCCCTCAGAAATACAGCAATTATCAGGGAATACTATGAAAAATTAAATGCCAACTGGACAACTTAGAAGAAATGGGAAAATTCCTAAACACACACTCACTACCAAA